CTCTATAAGTTAATGGCATTTGGAAAATTTTCCCTTACTATCTCAATCAAATGAAGGGGTGAGCTACTCTGTAGAATCAAGTCAAGCATTTGTGGCTTGACAGAGGGCTCATTTCAACCAAACAATTCTATTTTTGGCTTTGCAGTCAGCAAAAGTAACCCAATTCCTGATAAAATAACCAACCACCCATCTAAACTGGGGTAAACTTACCAGGATATTTTAGACCAGATTACCTGGAGTTCCACTATATAGGCTAAGCAACTATACTCTGAATGTATGAGAAGCAAAAATTACTAACAACTAGACCAAGGCAAACATAGATAAGACACATCCTTTAAGAGAAGCTCTTGGTTTGGAATTTTAGAGAATGCACATTCTGTAGAAAATAATATTCTCATCCTCAGGGGAAAAAAACATACAAGAGAGGCAATTAGTTATTAATAACTGAAGATACTCTAGGTAGAAAAAGATTTAGAAAGGGAAATGAAACAGATAAAAGACAATGGAATAATTTCTAAAGGAGGCATAATTTTTAGATAGATAAGATGCCAAAGGGGTAAGAGAACAACATCTAAGCCGTGGCTCTAAGATAAAACCAAGGCATACACAAGTAGCTGATAAGTACATCAGTCTGAAGCTTTCAAGAAACATACAGATTTTCTGGCATGAACAGTTAACTTAATAAGTAAGTCAGGGGAAGCCTACTCATGAAATTGTCCCCTACTCATGAAATTGAACTGCACTGGCAACTATGGGCAGACATTTCTCTTAATCTTGAACCAACCCTTCTAGTGAATATCAGGCACTGACCAACACATATGTAGATCCCAACTGACATTTGCATAAATAGTATTAAGAATGTTCTTTCTGATGTTATTTCTCTGATTTCTAAAACATTTATACAGAAGTGACCTTACTAAAGGAACTATGCTATACAAGGCCTTTAAGTACATTTTAATACCAAAATCTATGCATACAAGTATTATAGCTGTATCGAAGAATCAGTATAATCTTTGAAATATGGGATGTTGTTTGCGGGGGAGAGGGCGTTGAAGATTTCTGACTTGCAATTGATTTACTGCAAGGCCTAGAGTCATCAAGCAAAAAGTGGGAATAGTAAATAAGTTCTTGTTTGTTCACCAGAATGTACTTATAAGCCCTTGTTTACGCAGAACATGTGGCAAAGGTGGGAAATCCTTCTGTATAGGAGGCAGGACACATGTCTGTGAGCACGTATGTGTGTCTTAATTTGGCTATAGGCTCGAAGAGGGTGCCAGTGGGAAGCACAAAGAATTATCAAACAGTGAATGTCTGGCTAATAAGAGTGAGGAAGAGGCCTGGATACATAAAGAAGTCAGGTCCATATTTTACAGAAAATGTTATGTTAGACATGGAGTATATCCCTCAAAAGGCTCACGAGTTGAAGACTTAGTCCCAGCTGGTGAATCCAGTCACTGAATCATGAGGATTCTGACCCACCAATGCTTAATCTACTGATGGATTTAGCATTTGATGCCATTATTTGAAGATGATGAAAACTTTCTGAGGAAAGCTAAAGAAAGTAAGTCACCAGGATTGTGTCCTTAGGGGCTAAATCTTGCTCCTAGCCCCTTGGTTTCTCTATGCTTCCTGGCTGACATGAAGGAAGCAGCCTCTTCCACTGCATGCTCCCACTGCTGTCATGTTCTCCCTCATTTCAGGGATGGATCTGGCTGGCTCAAGTGGTATTTCAGACATTGTGTGCCAAAATAAATCTTTCTTCCACCCAACAGTAGGTATCCCACTGGTCAGTAGGAGTACAGCACAATATACTAACGGAGGAAGTCCTTGGCTGCCACATAAACTGGCTTTACCTATTACCAAGGCAAGAATTCTAAAAAAATAAACAAAAAACCAACCTTTCCCCCAAAACAAACAGAAAATAAATCCAGCTTGCAAGGATATACTAAATTGGAATGATTTTTTCTTCTCCTATGCTTGCCGCAAATAATTTTTTTCTTAAATGATTCACTTCAGGATATGGAAGTAAAATAGCCATTACAAAAAAGCCATGAAAGTTAAAATATCTCTCTAGATTTTCAAGCTTCATAGAAAAATATATATTTTAGAAAGCAATGTTTTAGATTAAGACTTTTAAGGCTGGGATGTAGCTCAGTGGCAAAGTGCTTGCCTAGCAAGTACAACATCCTGGATTCAATTCCCAAAAAAGACAAAAAAAAAGGCTTTTAAAATGTAGCAAGTTATCAGTAGGTATTACTCTTCTTAATGACATTCAAATATAACAACCCTAGTAATTACCCACCTGCACTAACATGGTTCTCATGGGGCTCACAAAAAAACCTGCACAGTCATCAGCAGAGAGACTGGAGGACAGAGGGGGTAGGAACAGCCTAGCCAGAAATATACAGCAGAATTTAATCACTGTAATTTAGAATTTTGTCACCGAGTCCCAGGTACAAGCTCTTTTATACACTGTCAAGAGATCTCCACATTAATTGCTGTTCCTGTCTTCTGAGGACACAAACACTCTAATTTGCTGTGATTTTAGCTTCTCTAGCAATGTGTGTTTGGTGGCTAAGTCCCCTTTTCCTCCAAAAAAGAGAGGCTGTTAAAGCCCTGATTATCAGACTGAAGTTACAAAGCATCCCAGTTTACCAGAGTCTAGAAATGAATGTGACTCAACACTCTGGTAGGCGGGAAGTCCTGCCACCCTCCCTGAAAGGCCACATTCTTCTCTTTCCTGGTAAGTTTGACTTTGAGTAGAAGGGTTATTTCTAAGTGATAAGTTCAATGACTCCATATGGTACATTGGAGGCAGAAAATTTACTTCATCATTTGAGGTCTTGGGGTAGATCTAGTCAGCACAATTGGAACAATAAATGAAAACCCAGTGCCTACTTTTTATCTGGGGGAAGAGGGAAGCTTTATAGATTTCATAGATTTTTCCGTAATGGCATGATCCTAGGTTTTGTGCTTTAGCAACAGAGGTCCAGCCTCTTTGCAACCTTGCTCACAGTAATGGCATTCTGAACAATCCTCCTGTAACCTACTTTCTGCTGCTATCATGTTAAGACCATAGATTGCTCTATTGGTAGAATATCATCCTTAAGTAAAGGTACCTCTTTTCAAAAGGAAGAACTGATCACCAAAGAAATAGGAGTCCAACTAAACTCAGAAACGATAAAGAAACCATTCTGAGGTGAAAAACTAACAGCCTGTAATTGGTGAGATAAACCATTATAATCCTGGGCCATGTGATCAGATGGGTACACCATTAAGGAATTCAACGCATATTACTTACCTCTTTTGAGCCCAACACTCTTACTGTCTGAATTGTGGAAGGATAAAGAAATGATTAGTACCCAAAATACTGACTTCCTTTTTGTTTGGGTGTCATGGAGTTCTCAGACAAATCACAAATCATTTTAAAATAAGGCATGTGGGAGTGGGAAACAGAAACAGAAATGCTTCCTACCCATGGGCCTGGAATTTACAAAGAAGGAAAGCTTAAAAAAATCTTAACAGTAAGAATACAAACACCATGAGAAAGCTAAGTAGCTAACTCCAAATTAAGTAGAGAATATCTTCTTTCATTCAGGTTGCAGGAGCCTTACTAAGAGATTATGAACCTGGCTTCTCATTTGAAAAATAAAAAGCTAAGTTAAGCTTCTCTATTATTTTTATTTTTTGGTAGAGTATAAGAAGCAAAACTCAGAAACAGCAAGGTTAGATAGTATTACACAAGTTGACTGGTGACTGACAACAATGAGGGATAAGAGGACAAGATGATTTAGAGGCTAAAGAACATGGAGAGACTTCCTCCCTCAGAGAAAGAATTCTACCAGACTTGTGATTTTTGAGGGAGTGAGAAATGTCATTTATTTTGTTTGGCAGAGTGATTGCCATGGATACAGGGGAATGTTGTGTTTTTCTGTTCTGTAAGGTACACGGAGTATGTCTAACTTTAGCTATGGGTTTCTGTTGGACATCTCCATGCTCAACACTTCACTGAAAAGAATTATCATGAAAACAAAGGGTCAGTAGTGTTCTCAGACAGCGGGGCAGTGGGAAGATGTGTTCTATATAATGAAAAATGCTGTTACACTTAGCAAATACTTCTTATAAAAATACTATCCAGGTCAATCTTTAACAATTTTTAAAAGACTATTCCATTGTATAAAGTCTATCACTAGGTGAAAATCCAATTACCAAACCCCTTTCTAAGTCTGGAAAACAGAAAAAATAAATAAATAAAATCCAGCTAAGCAGCAGTGGCTCATGCTCATATCAATCATCCCTGGATCCTGGAAGGCTGAGATCTAAGAATCACGGTTTGAAGCAAACCAAGGCAGACAGTCCTGAGACTTTTATCTCTAATTAACCAGCAAAAAGTCAGAGGTGGAGGTATTGTTTAAGAAGCAAAGCGTTAGCCTTGACCAAAAAAAACAAGTAAGAATGCAAGGGCCTGAATTCAAGCCCCGGATCAATCAACCAACCAATAAAATAAAATGAAAGCTAACTTTATAAAAATTAAAACAAAGTTTTCTCAGCTTAAAATAATGCCTTAGCCGGGCATTGGTGGCTCACGCCTGTAATCCTAGCTATTCAAGAGGCTGAGATCTGAGGATCGTGGTTCAAAGCCAGCCTGGGCAAGAAAGTCTGTGCAACTTTTATCTCCAATAAACCACCAGAAAACCGGAAGTAGCGCTGTAGCTCAAGTGGTAGAGCGCTAGCCTTGAGCTGAAGAGCTAAGGGACAGCACTCAGGCCCAGAGTTCAAGCCTCACGACCAAAAAAAAAGAAAAAAGAAAAAAAAAGCCTTATGATTGTAGGGCTATTCTGCTGGCAAGCAAATGTCATGGCATGTAAAAATGCAGTGTTTTTAAAAAAAGATAAAAATCTACTGCCTAATTTGAACATCACTGTATGTATACACTGTGGAGCAAGGTAGGGCAGGGATGGGAAACTGGAGAGGAGGGCAGCGTGGATGGACACAGTTACCTTGTGTGGGAAGCAGCATCATTTATACTGAAAGTGCTGTTCTCCCTTGTCAGAGGGCTTGAGCCACCTTGGCTCTTGCTGTGGATGTCCAGGCTCAGCGAGGACTCAGCTTTACGGTCCATGCCGTGGCTCTCTGTCTCTAAAGTCCGTTCTGCCATGGAGAGCACTTCACTGGAGCTATGCCACAGGGGGGGCACTTTCTCCTTGCCTGGCCCTGAACGGGGTGATGAGGTGGCAGCCCCTAGGGAAGCTGTGCTGCCATGGCTGGGGCCATAGGAGGTGGTGTCGATGCCACTGTCAGCAGAGGTGCCCTGAAGATAGTTGTAGCTATTGAGTTCAGATTCTGTGCGGTCCCCATCGTACCACTTCTCATCACTGTGGGCACTCGATGCATTGCTGGAGAGGGTATTGCTACTGGAGTGGCTCGAGTAGTGGCTATCAGCCTGAAAGGAAAGTACAACTGACTTCAGAGCAAGATCCCACTTTTCCACAACCCAGAAGAACAATGGAGAATAACACTGTGATGTGCAGTCCAGTTACAGAGTTCCAATGGTACAAAAGTTCTAAAGTGACAAAGTGATGTCTTGTCCATTTAGTAGTGCTCATGAAAAGAGTGCAGGAAAAAATTTTTTTTAAGGAGCCTATTTCTCATTATTTGACTTATGTTAAAGTATCAATACAACTGTATGAAGACCATTTTAATTGGAAAATAATCTAAATTATCATAGAAGTTTTTAATATCTTTTGTTTTTGTCGGCTATGGGGCCTGAACTCTTGGTCTGGGCGTTGCCCCTCAGCTCTTCAGCTCAAGGATAGTACTCTACCTTTTGAGCCATAGTTCCACTTCTGGCTTTTTCTGCTTATGTGGTGCTGAGGAATTGAACCAGGGCCTCACACATGCAAGGCAAACACTCTACCACTGAGCCATCTTCCCAGCCCAGCTTTTAATATCTTAAAAAAAGGAAATGACATTTCCAAAAGGCTTATAATTGGAAGTATGCCTGATTCTAGTGTTACCAATGTTTAACTGACTTTTTAATTGGTTACATTGAGATTGGAACTCAAGGTCTCATGTTTGTTAGTCAAATGCTCTACCACTTAAGCTATGTCTTCCGTTCCATGCTTGATTTTGCAGTTATACTCAAGTACAGATATAAGACATATAAGAATATACAAGGTACTGGTGGCTCAGGCTTGCAACCCTAGCTAATGAGGAGGCTGAGATTTTAGGATTGTGATTCACCTTCTTGGGCAGTAAAGTCCATGAGATGCATATCTCCAATTAACAATAAAAAAAACTGGAACTATAGCTCAAGTTGTAGAGTGTTAGCCTTAAGCATAATGCCCAGAGACAGTGCAAAGGTCCTTAAGTCAACCTCCTTCTTCGCCCAAAGAAAAAGTATACAGGACATATTAGTCTGAAGACTCTCCTGTTCCTTTCTCTATTTAGTCAGTTTTCTAAGATAATTCTGTAGGGAAAGCAATCCTATCAACAGATGGTCCAGAGACAACATGAAGAAAAGAATGTAGCTGGATCCTTAAAAGACACAAAGATCTAAACATCAGAACTAAAACTATAAAGAGCGTAAGTTTAAGTTCTGTGACTGTGAGCTATATGATGTGTTTCTAGATATATAAAACCAAAAGCATAAGAAACAAAAAGAAAAACCTCCCAGATAAATTGGACTTTTATCAAAATTAAAAACTTTTCTGCTGGGCTGGGAAGGTGGCTCAATGGTAGAGTGCTTGCCACTCATGCATGAGGCCCTGGGTTTGATTCCCCAGCACGACATAAACTGAAAAAGACGGAAGTGAGTGCTGTGGCTCAAGTGTTAAGAGTGCTAGCCTTGAGCTGAAGAGCTGAGGGACAGTGCCCAGGCCCAGAGTTTAAGCCCCACGACTGACAAAAAACAAAACAAAACAAAAAACCCTTTTGTGTTTCAAATAACCCAATTAAAAATGGCAAAAGATTTGAATAGGCTTTTCTTCAAAGAAGATGTGTACACATCCAACAAGCATGTGAAAGATATTGAGTACCATTAGTGCTTAGGGAGATGCTGGATCACAGCATACTAGAATGGTTATGTGCAAAATGGCAGACAAAAATGGTATGAAAGAGTTGGGAATGTAAAGTGGTGGCTGCTATGGGAAGACAGCTACAATTCCACTCCTTGGTATGTACATAAGAGAAATGAAAGTATGTTCACATAAAAATGTGTATTGTTTATAGCAGTATTAGCCAAAAAGTAGAAATAACCCAAATGACTATCATGTTATGAATGGATTAAAGAATACATCTTTTCCCCTTAAGAATCAATTCCAGCTGCTTTCGGTAGAACTCTTAATTTTCTTGGGAACAACTTATAGGATGTTGCTCTGAAGCCTTATTTAAATATGGCTGGTCCTAAAGTAGACATCCTGAGAATGTAAAGCAACGTGAAAATTCCTACAGAGATATAATGTGAACTACCATAACAGTATTTTCTAATAATCCGCCAGGTAAGCTGGTGTAGGCATTTAATTCTAGCACTTGTGTAGGGCAGGCAGCAGGATTGCAACTTGGAGACCAATGTGGGTGACAAAGAAACACTCTGTTGCAAAACAACAAAAAACACAAAACAAACCAACATTCATCTCCAAGACTTTAGTAGCCAAAAAGCAAAGAAAAAAAAAAAGGAAAGATAAAATTTTAATAAATTCCTCAGTAAATCACCAGAGCTAAATATAGGGTAGTACTTCCCATGTTTGCAAATTCAGTGTTCAATATGAATCTATTCATTAAAAGTTTTTGAACATCTTTATAAATTAGTGATATTAAGTAGAGAACCCCCTCCCCTGTCCTATCAAACAACATGAATACAAATACAATTCTACAAAGAGACAGATGAAGGAAATCAGCTGCACTGGCAGGGGGAGGGAGAATGATAAGGGATTGTGTGTTATTATAATAAAAGGACATTATGTGTAGCTGTGGAAGATGAGCAGTAGATGCAAGGGAAGCTGTCTGTCCCTTTGACTGATGCTCCCATCTTCTATCTCATGCCTACAACTACCTAACATTATTCATCTCTTTCTAGCACATTTCTAGCTCTAATATTTTAGGATTGTTTGGAATTGAACTAATCTTCTTCCATTCAGATATGCGAGGTTGCAAGGGCATAACGATGAGATTACAGTTTACCCCAAACCAACCTTACAGTGCTATGGCAGCAAATCCCCTGTTAGGATGTAGGATGACTGTCCTTTTGACCACACAGAGCAGAGGAGGGCAGGACAGAGCAGACTTGTCCCATTTTCACAGCATAGGCAAGTATGTTGAAGGAATCTACTGTATTATTACTCAAGTTTACAGTTCACTTACATGCCCTTGTTTGTTTGGAGACAAATGGACCACTGGATCCTGCCGTATTAATCTCCCACTGGGGCTCTCTCGGAAAGCTGGCAGTACCTTTGATACTGCTGGGAGATGGCATGTAGGTTCTGGAATATAGCACAGGACGTTATGGTGCAGGTACTAAACAAAGATAAGCCCAACTGACAAATGGAGATGGCTTGCCATTGCATCTTCAGTTCACTGACCAGCCAACTCTGAATTTCAGTACTAAGCTTGTTCAGAGTCTACACAATAGATAGCATTTCAGAAACTAAGTAGCTGATGGATAAAGCTTGTAGCCGGTGATAACATGTCACATCATATACATGTAGCAGTCAGGAACCACCAAACCAAAGGCCATGAAAAAAATGCAGCAAATTTTGGAACCAATTTTTGGTTTGGGAGCAGGTTTAGAATCTATGGATTAAAATGTGCAATTCACTCACTGCAAAGTATGGCTAACCTAACTCAGTCTACATTCCCTAGACAGGCATGGATGCAATCCCGTGTTACTTACCATGACATTTTGGAAATGTTTTACCTGTATATTCATGCTGCTCGAGGACAAAAGAATTGAAATCCTGAGGTCCTCTATAACTGTAAGCTAAGCACAACAGAAAAGACACACAGCAACTACTTTACTTAAAACAATTGCTTCCTTTTGGACTCCAAACTGGCATTCAAGATTGAGATTCCAAAAGCGAGAGACAGGTGATTAATCCTCTAACATACTTAGAGTTAACAGCAAGAATTCTGCATTTCTGCAACATCCCTTCCAACTTGCAGAGGATGAGGCAGACTACTCCTTGAGTTTGGCTCAAAATCATTTCCAAGAGTAGAGAAACAAAACATCTGTGGAGATGAGTGAGCCAATTAATAAGCAAGTTAAAGTTGCATGTGTCAGTTCACTAGGGTCCAGTTTTGTTACACATTGGTGTATGAGGACAGGTGGGCCTACCTAACAGATAAGAATCTCCTCAGTAATCTCTATCACTGAGTCGTTAGAGAAATATGCTTGTACAATTTGAGCATAGAAAGGTCAAATTGGTTATACTTCCACTATCACATAGTGAATAAAGAAAATGTTTAAAAAAAAAGCCTTGGATTCTTTCTGATGTGCCAGTTAGGAAAGGCTGGGTTCTTCATTCTCCTGGACTACCAAAACTTATAAAACTTTCTGTCCAGTCCTTGGTCTCCTTCTCTTATCCCTTGGGACTGTCTGTGAGTGGAAGTGTGACACTGTATTCTGTATAAAACGCTGGCTGCCAGCCTTACTCAAAACCTGCACTAGAAGCCAGAAAAAGCCACTAAGATTATGCTCAAAAAGGGATCATTTTCATGTGTCGTTTCTATCTCAACAGTATCAAAACATATGGGATTAAAAACATTCTGTCAAGAACAGAAAAGCAGATCAGAATATGCTCAGGTTTTCTGTGTCGGGGGTGGTGTGGTAAGAGTGGGGAATGACAGATGGCTTCAATAACAAGGCACAACTCGCTGAAGTGACTAGAACAAAGCATTTCTTTAGACCTGAGAAGTATATTTCTTCCTTAACTTTAGTCTTAGATGAATATTCCTCTGTTCCTTTCTAGGCTCATGTTGTTATGTTTACCTGGGCATGGTCATTAAAATAGAACAAAACCAGGAGAGTAGACATGATAAGGTATGATAACTTTAAGGTCATTGCCTTAAAATTTATTTCAGCCCCGAAACGTCCATCTTTTTATCCCCTATGGATGGCAATGCATTTAGGCACAAGATAAAGGTGAGGGGAAAAATAAAACAGTAAGTCTAAATTCAAGTTCTTGAAGTATCAAGTACACTGGTACCAAATACCCAGTACTGCTGTGCTGGAACTTAATCTTGTTTCATGGCAATGTTTTTATTGTATCACCTAGTGTTATGTTAGGGTATCATTGCAGAACATCACCACACACACAGAAGGCTGTGCATCAGAAATCCAAATGAGTGCTCAATAATGCAAATTGTTTCCCATCCAGTTGTTTCATACTGCTAAGATGTCTTCTAAGCTGACAGCTTAATGGTACCATGGAAGAATTAAAAAGAAATGCACGTAAGAGGAGGAAAGAGCTCCTAACCAAGCTGCAGGTATAAACATCAATAATCCTTTCTTCTCACTTCTATGTAGTTTTTTTCTTTTTCCTTGTTTTTGGGGAGGTCGTGGGGCTTGAACTCTGGGATTGGGCACTATCCCTCAGCTCTTCAGCTCAAGGCGAGCGCTCTACCACTTGAGCCACAGTGCCATTTTCAGTCTTCTGGTGGTTTAGTGAAGATAAGAGTCTCATGGACTTTCCTGCCCGGGCTGGCTTTGAACTGTGATCCTTAGATCTCAGCCTCCTGAGTAGCTAGGCTTATAGGCGTGAGCCACCAGCGCCCAGTTTGGTTTTGTTTTTAACTTGACATTAAGAATGCCAAGGAATTTTTTAGGCCCTAGCCGAAAAATCAACAAACAGGGTCAATGCTACTTAGGATACAAGTGGTTTGTTCAGGCTAGTCTTTTTATCTTGGTTATCTTTGTATGTTTCCTGTGTCCTTTCTGTTTTTAAATTCTGGGTCATGCATAATTCCTTGACTTTCTCTCAGGTTTTAATTTGTTACTGGCAATTAAATCATTGCCTGGCAGTGATTTAATTCTAATGCAGTTATTAACCAAGGCTACTTTAAAAAATGATTAGCACACATTAGTTGTACAAGGAGGGTTTCATTGTGACATTTCTGTACATGCATACAGTGTACACTATCAAACAGCCTCTCTATCATCCTCTTCCCCCTTCTTAAAACAATTTCAATAGGGTTCATTGTTCTATCTTCATACTTGCAAATAAATCATATGGACCATATTGATCTACACAATACTTTGATGACATCAAGTCACCAAGAGGTGCTCAAAATCAATTTTTCACAAATGCATCTGATTTTCTTAGAAAGTATCTACTTACCTATTGGGTCGGCAATGCTATCCTCACTTCTTTGCCAGCTGGGTGTGGATTTTCCACTGCCCCCAAGGTCTGACTGGGTGTTCTGCCTGTCCATGGAAGCTGGTGATCTGCGACTCACTCCAAACCTGTGGCAATTCCCGAACAAACGCTGTTAAAGATAGATCAGATACTCTCCCAGGGAGGGAAGGGAGTCCTGTGTATAATGAACTTGACTTTAATGACTGGTATTACTAGTTTTTGCTTACATGTCTGTACATGTAGACATATCGTTATAAATGGGTGTGGAAATGTGTTTATTTTGGTCAATATATATTGCTCTGCTCAGAAGGTAATCATGCCTAGGGCAGAAGCCATTAGAATTGAGCTAACCTAAGACATGGAGAGTAAGAAACCAAATCTAGCCCTCAAAGACGCAATCTCAGATTCATTCTTAGCTAAAGGAAAAATTTCACAGTTGAAACGTCCCCCCTCCCCAATCTTTCAAATGGTTCATTTACATTTTTGGGATAAGATTCTGCCAAATCAGAACTTCACTTCTGAGCACTTACTTGCTCTATGGTTTGCATGACAAAGATCAAAATTGCTATCACTTATATTACATGGAAATTATTTTTAAAGTATACAAATTTTAAATTGCCTTTGGGAATGACAATTTGAAAGTGAGCATGCTGGGATGTATAACGGCAAATAACTATTTCTGGAAAGAAATGTAGCTATTTAGTGAGGCAGTTTTATTTTTCTCTAGTAAATAATAATATATACTTAAAGCATATGACTTAATCATCAATCAGCAAAAACTGAGCCAACAAAAATGGCCAGAATGTACATTCAAGTGTTCTTGTGTAAATTTACTAATTTCTACGATTACTAGTGTTCTAAGCAATCTACATAATAAAGAGTAGGGCCTACATCAATCAAGTATATGATGGATATTGTACTTCCTATAGAGTGGAAATCCCATGGCCAAGACAACAGTGGTATAATGTAAAGAACAGATTAAGAGTAAGAAGATTTAGAGCTGACTTCCAACTCTGTTACCTAATGTGACTGAATAAAGTCACTTTTTTGCCTCATTTTCTTTCTTTCTTTCTTTCTTTTTTTTGTCGGTTGTGGGGCTTGAACTCTGGGCCTTTGCGCTGTCCCTCAGCTCTTCAGATCAAGGCGAGCACTCTATCTACCACTTGAGCCACAGAGCCACTTCTGGTTTTCTGGTGGTTTATTGGAGATAAGAGTTTCAAGGGTTTTCCTGCCTGGGTTGGCTTTGAACTGCGATCCTTTGATCTCAGCTTCCTGAGTGGCTAGAATTATAGGCGTAAGCCACCAGCACCCAGCTCTCAGTTTCTATATATGCAACCTGGCCATTCCATCACAGGAAGAAAAATCTACATGAAGGATCTGTGAAAGCAGAGAAAGCTATGAGATATTTGCTTTAGTAAAACATATCATCTCTCTAGTTGCTTGGCTAATAAGCTCATTTACAGGACTATTCATAGGGCCCACTAAGCAAAGTTGCCTTATGTACCAACATAGCCATTACTATATATGAAAATCTTGATTCACAGAAACTTCAGAGAAAATATTTAAGAGAAAAGGGAAATGTGTTTGGTATGTATAACTCACAGCTATGTTTTATTTGTTTTGCTCCCTAAGTGAATATCCTCAAACTGACCCTGTGATTGTCTAAATCTGTACTAAATTATGACTTCCTAAAAAAGGTACAGTCAAGTTAGAAATGGATTTGAATCTAGCTTTTATTTATTTCTTGCAGCAGTAGAAACTAAAGATGCTAATTTAAATCTCTGAATCTAAAGTGAAACATTTTTCTAGCTCTCTGCTTTTAAATAAATGATAAGGCTGTCTTTCAATTTTGCCTTAAAAAACATTTCCATTGGGTGAACTTTTTTTTTTTTGGGGGGGGCTCCGG